TCGTCATCCTCCTATCGAAACCACCCAACCTCTTCTACTTCTCTATTTTTGTTAATGGCATCAGCAATTTTCTAATAACAATGATACCTAGCATTTATATAGTGCTTTAAAGTTTAGAGTACTTTACATATGTTAACACAGTTGATCCTCACAACATCCCTGAGAGGTAGGTGCCATTATTATCCCCATTTTACAGATGAGGAAACTGAGGCACCAAGAGGTTAAATGACTTGCCCAAACTCCTAAATCTAATATGTGGCTGGATCTAGTAAGTGACAGATCTTTCTGACTCCACATCCCTCACTCCTTTTGTTATGCCACCTAGATACCTCTAAATCAATGCTTTGTGGTCATCCTTCAGCTCTCTCTTCCCTGTTACCACTACGTTCATCCATTTGCCAAGTTCTGTCAGTTCTATTTCTACAACCTCTTTTGCCTCTGTACCTTTCCATTCTCACAGACACCACCCTGAGACACCGTGTGACCTGGGACAAATCACTTAACCTCTGCCTCAGTTTACTCAAAATAGGGACAATAATTAGACCTACCTCCCAGGGTTATTGTGAAGATCAAATGAGATAATAATTGTGAAGGGCTCGAGCATTAATTTAAACTGCTTCCCTTACCCTAATTCAGATCCTTATCACTTCTCACCTGTAGTATCAATAGATTGGCATTTGTTAAGTGCCTACTATGTGCCCAAGAGTGTGCTAGACACTGGGCTTAAAAGATAATAAATGAAATGATTCTTACTCTCAAAGAGCCTCCATCTTCGCTTTCTCCTTTCTCTCCCCTCTCCAATCCATTCTTCTCAGAGTCACCAGACTAATCTTGCCAAAGTATACCCTGTCTTATCAATTCTGTTTAAAAACCATGACACTTCCCATTGCCTTACGATAAAACTCAAGCTCTTTATCCTGACCTAGAAGACCGTTCACCCCAGCTTACCTTTTCTGGTGGCCTCTTTCACATTGCTTCCCTTCACATACTATGTTCTAATCAAATTAGACATCTGGCTCTGTCCCAGATTTAGGTGCTACCTCCAGGTATCCATCATGCCTGCAATGTACTCCTTCCTCATCTTCTCATTTCAGAAACTTTCTTGATCAAACACCAGTCCAGATGTTGCTTTCTCTATAAAACTTTCCCTTATCCCCCCACCAAAGGCATTTTTCCTTCCTCCAAGTTTTCTACAACACTCTCTCTCTGGATCTCTCCTCTCCTCCCCTTCCCATCACATATTGCCTTGCATTATGCTTATCAGCATAAATGCCACATGCCCACCTCCCCATAGAACATAAGCTTTTTGAAGGCAGAAACTGTGTTTATTTCCAGTCTTCTCATCCTCAATGCCTTGCATATAGTAGGCCCTTAATAAATATTCATTGAATTCAGTTGAATGGAATAGAACTATAGTGTGGTATCAAGGAAAGAGCACAGCTTTTGGAACCAAAGGACCTGGCTTCAGGTAGCTCTGCTACCTGTGTGAATTAGGTAAATGAGAGGCTGGTGAGTGGTATGGTGGATAGAGCACCAGGCCTAGAGTTAGGAAGACCTGAGTTCAAGTGTGACCTCAGATACTTACTAGCTGTGTGACTCTGCTTTGTCTGCCCCAGTTTCCTTATCTGTAAAATGGGAATAATAATAACACCTACCTCATAAGATTTTTGTGAGTATCAAATGAGATAATAATTATAAAGCACTTAGTACAGTGCTTGGCACATGGCAAGCAGTATATAAATGTTAGTTATTATTATTATTATATTACTTCACCTCTCTGAGGCTTCTTCCTTTATAAAATGAGGAGGTTGGACTCAATTATGTCCAAGGTTCTTTCTAGCTCTAATCTGGGATACAATGAGGTTCTCATCATTGCTGGAACCTCCCCTTAAGCTATAGAATGTTTCTAAGCTAGAAAATGTCCAACCTCTTTGAACCCGATATCCCATTACTAGGCATATACCCTCAGAAGGTCTTTGATAAAAAGAAAGGCTCCCTATACACCAAAATATTTCCAGCATCACCTTATATGGGGGCAAAGAATTGGAAACAAAGTAGATGAGAATTAGTTGAGGAGTGGCTAAAAAAATTGTGCTATATCAACATAATAAAATGTTACTCTGTGGTAACAAATAAGATGTATACAGAGGAGCATGAAAGACCTCCACGAACTGATGCAAAGTGAAGGGAGCAGAGCCAAAGAAATAATATGACTGCTACAATGTACCTGAAAATAACAGCCATCACGAAACAACTGAAAGGGAATATTATAGAATTACAAGGTATAAGTGTGGTCTCTTTACTCTCTTTAGAGATGGGGGTCTTTGGGTCTAGAACGTTGATAGATTTTTTTGATATATTGATTGATTTTGCTGATTTTTTACTTCCTCTTTTCTCTTAAAAAAAAATTCTCCCTTCTAAGAGATGGCTCTATGTGAGGGCTGTGGGGAAGAGAGGGGGGGTGGGAAATGTAGGTGATGTTAAAACAAAATACACTGATAAATTTATATATTTTTTAAAAGTTTATGAGTCAGGAATATCTGTTTCAGAGGTTACAAGTGTAGTGCCTCGTCAAAACTTGAGGTTAGAACATCCCACTTTGTCACATCAGTTCTGCTCGCTTTCCTTTTCTGGAAAACTGAATCACTCTAATGTTCTGTGACTGAAAAGGTCAACTATGTGTGGGCTGGACTTTTTTTTTTAAATGGATATAAGTAGATTGTCTATTACTGAAAAGTAAACCACAGCCTGCACATATTTCAGGATGTCCCCTCCTTTTTAAAGAAGTCCCTGACAAATTATTCAATAGGAGCAACTGAATTCTACTATCCATCCTCCCTATCCCCCACTCAACTCATGTGCATTAAAAATATAGATTTCACTATTGCTCAAATCTCACCAAAATAAGCCTAATAATTCCAGCAGTGGGAGGAAGGGCCAGCATAGAACAAGGGTGGGTTAGTGAAAGGGCCCCAGATTTAGCATAGAAGGATCTGGCTTCAAGCCTCAGTTTGAATATTTATTTGCTTTTTTGATCTTAAGCACACTTACCTTCAGAGCCTCAGTTTCCTCATCTGTGAATCAAGCATGCTTATATTGCAGTACATACCCAGCAAGGTTATTGTGAGAGTGAAACAAGATTATGTGTGTGTGTGTGTATGTGTGTGTGTGTGTGTGTGTGTGTGTGTGTGTGGTGTTTTGAAAAGTGTGGTGATGATGATGATGATGATGATGATGATGATGAAAAAAATAATAATAATAGCTCAGGTTTATGTAATACTTTATGGTTTGTAAAATACTACAAATTTTATATAATTTTTCCCCCACAACATAGGTGGGAAATGTTAGAGGGCATGGAGTCAGGAAACCTGAGTTCAAATCCAGCCTCAGATGCTTACTAGCTATGTGTCCCTGGGTAAGTCACTTGACCTTTGCCTCAATTTCCTCAACTGTAAAATGGGGGTAATAATGGCACCTACCTCCTAGAATTGTTGCAAGGATCGAATGAGATATTTATAAAGTGCTTGGCACAGTACCTGACTTAATAAATCGAGTATTTAATAGGTACTTTTTTTCCTTCTGACCAGGACATAATACAACAGGTATTATGACACCTCTGGGCAGTTTCACATAAGACACAGTATCACAGGTATCATAGATTTAGAGCTACAAGGAATCTCTAACTCCCTCATTTTACAGGTGGAAGTAATTAAGGCCAATGAAGCTATCAGTATACCTGGGAGCTGAGCCTTTCTTAGTGCAGCCCACAATTTCAGCAACTGTTTTGGCCATCATCATCTACTTTTCACTGTCATTGACTTTGAAGTCCACTAAAAAAAAACTCAGATCTTCTTCAGACAAACTGTAGTTTACTCTTGCCTCCCCCATCTTCTTGGAATGGAAGAGAGAGAGGGAGTAAGAAAGGTAAGCCATGGATTCTAAGGATAAGATCTTAGATTCATGTATTTATGGCGGGGAGGGGGGCATTAAAATGAGAGCGTAAGGGAGAGGGAGAGAAAGCAAAGAGGAAGGAAGAGAAGGAGGGAAGGATAGTGGAACAGGGAGAGGGAAAGAGGAAGCAAAGGAGAGAAAGGAAGGGAAGAAGAAAGAGGAAGGGAGGAAAAGAGGGAGAGAAAGAAAAACAGAGAGAGAGGAAGGGAGGAAGTGGAGAGAGAAGGAGGAAGGGAGTTGATTTTCTGAACCCATGTCAGTCTCTAGCTACCTTTATTCCTATTAAATGTCATCTTATGACAAATGTTAGTAGGAGTAGAAACCTTCAGATGTGGTAAAAGAGACAGTTGGCTGTGCACCTTTCAGATAGCCAGCACCAAGCAAGCACTTCAATGAGGGCCATGGCAGTCTTCTTATTAATCATGACACCAACTGCAGAATGACAGAGATAGAAGGGAGTGTGGAACACCAAATGCTGGGGAGATGTGGACATTTTGCAGTCTAGGCCAACCCCACCTGGGATTTCCTTGAAGTCTACTTTTGGCTCAAATAGACTTGGAAAGCATTTACATTTGGACTGAAAGCTGCCCGAAGCAAAGTGAGGTTGTGTCTGATGATAGAAAGGGTGTGGAAGGCAGATGACCTGGGTTTAAATCCTTGCTTTGCATGAACTTGCTGCATGATCTCAGATAAGTCAGTTTTCCATTTTGGTCCTCAATTTCCTCGTCTGAAAAAGAAATTGTGTGACCTACACACTCAAAACTACTTACGACAAAAGGACTTTGTAAACCTTAAGATGCTATAGAAATAGAAGTTGTTGTTATTATTATTTTGCACAGTGAAATGTTCAGTTTGTTCCCTGGACCTACGTCTTCCCTGCCTCTCAAAGATGGTGGGCCCACTTGTCCATAAGATGAGGTAGGTGGGGCCCCTGGTGCCTCTGCATTAATGTGCTATGTGCTACTGTCAGTAGTCCTTCATGGTCTTTGGGGTTTTGAGTTCCTGTCTCTGGTGTGGTCTCAAGGTCTTCCTCCTCTCAGCAGTGAGCACAGACAGACTTCACAAGAGGATCGTCTGAAATAAACAGCTACTATCCATCTCTGTGCAAAGGAAAATGTAGCTGCCCATTGAGGAAGTCACTGAAGCTGGAGCTGACAGTGGGGCCTGCCTGACATGGCCAGGGTGCTGGAATTGATTCTTCTCGTGGCTCCCTGTGGGTACCTAGGTAAGAACCTCTCTTACAGAATATTCTCTCTCATATTCTCTCTCTCTCTCTCTCTCTCTCTCTCTCTCTCTCTCTCTCTCTCT